ATCCCCCTGCCTCTGCCTCCCGAGTGCTGGGATTAAAGGTGTGCGCCACCAGCCCGGTTATGTTTGTCATTTTTTACAAGGACCTCCAAGTGCAGATAGATGTCCTGCATTTCACTGACAATTCTGTACAGGCTTTCCGTTGCTTTAAATCCTCATGACTGATTCCAAGATGAGATTTGCTCCTTCATAGCCAAAATTCATATAAACATAGGTACCATTTGTTCTATTGGTTCATGTCTCACATCACTTGAGTTGAACTGTGTGTGGGGTGCACTGGGGCTCTTACTTTCTTTTGGGACGGTGATGATTCTTATGAATAGCAAGCCTAAAACAACACGATTTGATAAAGGCTTAGAGTGAAGTTTCTGTCATACCAGGGGCCTCCCAATAAGCTTATTCTAAGTGAGTAAACCCATGTTAAGTTGACCTCGTGAGGTTGGTGTACAGGGAGAGTACCAGGCCTGGTAGCTTCCTGAGCCACTTTTTGAAACACCAGGGCCTTTGCTGCTAGCTCCTAATAGCCTGTATATTTTTAGTACTGCTTTTCATGTTAGTTTCCCGTTAACTGCAGGAAATCTTTTCTTGGACATAATCTACCCATTTCCTGAAGTCTTCCTTTCCACATTGTGTCAGTTTGGGGATGAATCAAGTCAGCAGATTTAGAGAGGGCTTGTTCTCTTCCCTGTCACAGCCTCCCTTCTTTGTGGGATACCAGAAAGCTGCCTTTCTTTTCTTTTTTTAGGGGTGGAGGAAGGAGGGGAGAGTCCTCGGTGTGTGTCGGCCTCTGAGGCTCCCTGACACAAATGTACTTTTGTGTGTGGAAGGGGCATGTGTGTGTGTTTTCCCCTTCCCAATGGACACTTTCATTTATTAGGTCCGGATGGTGTCCTCGGAGCTATAAACAATGGTGTGGAGATAACAGAGCTGCCTCAGTGAGGAGGCTGTGGTGGCAGCCACTAGATTTCCCTCTCTGCCCCTGCCCCCCCATCCCTTTGTCCATTGTGAGTCTGGTCTGATTTAAAGCAGCTGAAGACTCTGTGATCCCTTCAGAACCACATGGACACTGCCTGCCCTTCTTACCTTGAGTACTTTAGACATAGAAGAGGTTTTACATGAAGCTTCTCATGTTGGCATGTGTTAGTTTAAACATGCTTTGTCTCAAAGGGAACTCAAACATATTGCAAGTAAGAAAACAAACTAGTCCAGCCACTATAGAAACCAATATGGAGGTTCCTCATACAACTAAAGATAAATTCCCCCACATGACCCAAAAAAAAAAGTAAGAGAGGAATAGGTAATGGAAATGTATATGTACACAATGGTAATTTTTTTAACCACAAAGAAGAACAAATTCATGTCTTTTTCAGGAAAATGAATGCAGCTGAAAATAATCATATCACATGAATTAAGCCAGCCTCAGAAAGATAAATACCTATGTTTTCTCTTGGTGTTTCCTAGATTTTATGTCGATACATAAAATCATGTATGTTAATATGACATGAAATGAAAGTAAAATAAAAATTTCTAGGGGGACAAAAGGGTCTATTGGGAAGGGGAGGAATGAGAAAGGGAGGGTGGGAAATATGAGGGGAAATATGCTCAACTTCCAATATATACATGTACAAAAGCTTTAAAATAAATTAATTTTAAAATATGCTTGTTCTTTTGAAGAACCAAAATTCTGGCTTTATTATCCCTTAAGAATGGAGGAGTTAGATAAAAAGTATGTGCTTGAGGACTGGCCTGCTATTTACTAACCTTAAGACCTCAGGCAAGTTATGGGTCTAATAACAGTTCTCCTTTCATATAGGATGTTCCAAAATTTAAAAAAGAAAGTATATGCAAAGTGCCTGCCATATGGGAAGCACCCACATGTTAACCAAAAAGGGAGGCATGAGAGGGAGTGTGAAATGAGACGATATAAATGAATATGCTACACATAAAATGGTAAGCACACTTTAGTGACTATTCCATTTCAGATCTAAGGGCAAGCCCTTTTTCTTCCTTCAAAGATACTCTTTCATCTGACTTCTCATTCTGACCACTCCTCCCTTTTCTCACTCAGTCATCCTGCACTGTGGGTTCTTCTTTGACTTAATAGCATAGATGTCCTGTCTCAAAGCAAACTGCTGTGTCTTGAGGCCAGACCTTATCCCAGTCTTTGGCACAAAGTAGGAAGATTCAGAACTTAACTTGAATAGGTACCTGGAATGCGAAACTCCAAAATGTAAACCTTTCCCATCCCAGGGGCCTGCCCTTTCAATTCAAATTTACTTCTTAACTTTTATATTCAGGGATCAGTGCAAGAAATGGAAATGCTCCAGACACTTTAAACAGAAAAGGATTTAATACTAGGAGTTCAGTGTTTGCCAAATGGTAGAAGGACCTTAACCTGTGTTTTCTAGTCTAGAACCCCATGAAGGGCCTGCCAGGATACCACTGCATCCCAGCATCCCACTCACTTCATGGCTATGCTCTTGGGACTGGAAGCTACTACTGTAGCTGCCTCGCAGCACTCAGGACATAGAGAAGGCCTCAGCTACATGAAGCCCTTCATTCAGCTATGTCCTTGCTTGCCAGCAGAAAGAAGAAACAGCCAAAGGAAAGAAAGGAGGAAATGGTCTGTGCCTCTCTTCTACTTTGCAAGTCTTGTATGAATGAAAACTGGCAAACTGACTGCAAGTAAATCTTAGTTTTCCAGAATTAATTTCGTTCCTTTTTTTGTTCTTGTTTTTATTGTTGTTGTTTTGAAACAGTGTCTCCTGTAATCGAGGCTGGCTTGAGACTTACTATGTAGAAGAGGCTGGCCCTTGTGCCTCCATTTCCCAAGTGCTAGGATTACAGCCATGTGCCATCACAACCAGCTTAGTTTCTTGGTTTTACAGAATTTTTAAAAATATTTTATTTTTATTATTTTTATTTTATGTGTACGAGAGTATTGCTTGCATGCATGTGAGTGTACTCGTGAATTTTTAACAAGAAGGAGAGCAGAGTAGAGGTTGAGTGAACCAGCCTACAATACTTACCAACCCAGTTCACCTACAGAGTATTTCAAGAAGCAATATGACCAGATAAAAGCTAGATGACAGAATCTGGACAACTCTGTCTCCATCTAGTTATCACTTCCAAATATAGAATCACATCCAGAAAGCCATGTTTCTGTATGTGAAATCCTCCATATCTCCCTATGGCCTTTAAAAGCAATTGATCAACCAGCTGGCCTTCTCAAGAACAAGAATATTCTCAACATGTTTCAGTAAGTGCCTATTATATATGTCAGATATTCTGCTAGGCAAAAGGAACAAAGCTAAGAGAGAAAACAAGGCACTGACACCAAATTCATGGTAGTCCAGTAGGGAAGATAAAGAAACAAAGATATGGCTGGGTATGGTGACGTATGCCTTTAATCCCAGCACTCTGGAGGCAAAGAGAGGTAAGATCATGGTCAGTCTGAGATGGTCTACATAGTGAGTTCCAGGCCCACTGGGTCTACTTAGTGAGACCCTGTCTCAAAAGAAGAAGAAACAAAAGTAGTCATAAAATGATATTATAAATGCTAAAAGAATGATGTTTTTAGGAGCATAGATGAATGGTGTATAAATTAGGTGGGGAATAAAATCAGGATGAATATACAGGGCTGTACATATTTATGTAAAAAGTATAAGGGCTTTTTATTAACATAAAGAGACTATCAGTCTGGTCATATAAATTCTACATTCTCTTTTTCCTCAATCACCTACCCCTCACATCAGAACTCGTTACTCTTTATTTTCCCTTTATCTAAATTTGTTTTTTTGAGATCAAGTCTCATGTATCCTGGGCTGACCATGCTAGGAATAGAACCCGGGGCTTTTTGCATCTAGGCAAGCACTCTCACAAATGAGCTACATCTCTATAACCTGGTTGTTTTTGTGAGATAGAATCACATGTAGCCAAGTCTAGTCTCAAACCCAATATACAGCCCAGGGTGACCTTGAATTACTGATCCCTCCCTTCTAACAAATTCCTTCTTACCTTTGTCTCCTCATTGCATCTTTTTTGAAAATTTATTTATTTGGGCTTCTCTGCTTCTAAACCTCCCTCTTATCCCAACAAACCTTTAACAAGACATTCTTTTGTAGTGTAGCTTCTTGGAAAATTTACTGTGCCAGTGCTTTGGATATGTTTGAGAGTAGCAAACAGCAAAATACGTTGGTTGGCAAATGATTTAAATATTATCTGTAATAGCATTTCATCAACTCAGAAAAGTTACTGAGTCCATTTTATGTTTTTGTTTATATCTGAAAACACAAAGATGAACAAACTGCTACCCTTGACTTCCGGAAGCTCCCAGCAGAATGCAGATACCTACACAGACAAGTATAACAAACAACATGAACCATTTTTTGAAAAGCATAGAACAGCACATTGTAAATCTAAGCACTCAGGAGGCTGAAGCAGGAGGATCACAAATTCAAGATCAACCTGGGTTACCCTGAAGAGACCCTATCTCAAATTCCAAAGTAAAAGGGCAAAAGGAGAGGTGCCCCAAAAGGGACTCTAACACCCTCTTCTGGCCTCTGCAGGTATTGCATGCACATGATGCACTTACATATATGCAAGTAAAACACTCATATACATAAAATAAAAAATTTTAAGGTAGAAAGCTCTTGAGGAAGACACCTGACATTGATCTCTGCCCTCCATCCCACCCCCCACATGCACACAAACAAAATCACACCATAGGCTAGAAGTAATTTAAGTAAGTTGGTTATTCCTACAGGAAAGCCCTTCAAAATGCTTTCCTGACTTTAATTATTTGCCCTTTATTTGGCATTTTAAAAAAAATTACAAGGAAAAGCTACAAATTTTATATACTTGTTTATTCCTCCTATTGACTTGTGATCGCTACGCATTGTTTCACCTCTTGAAAGGAAGTCTAGATAAATGTAAAAACAAATCCCCTTAAATTAGGTGTGATGGAACACACCTATAATCCCAGCAGTGGAGAGGTATAGGCAAGAATATCAAAATTCAAGACTATCTTTGACTTCATAGCAAGTTTGTCAGCATGAGCTAAATTCAGCTTCTCATTTGAATGATGTTTACTTCTGGTATCAAGTTGTGATATGATTTTAAATGAGTCATTTATGTGAAAATAAGACTGTAACACTTATTCTGTCTTCCATGAAAAGTAACAATGGAGTTCTTTAGATGGGGAATAACCTCCAAGATATAATGTATATGGAAGAAAACAAGATGTACTTAATATACAATGGAAAATACATATTTACTATTATACACATAAGGTATCTCAAAATGAAACACAGGAAACCAATAGCAGTGATTATCTTTACAGAACAGAACAGAATATTTGGGGTTAAGATGGAGGAGACTTGTTATTTTTTGCCATTCTGTATCTCTTGATTTTTGTTTTTTCCGTTTTTGGTAGTTTTTGAGATAATCTCACTATGTAACCTAGGCTAGGCTTGAATCCACAATCCTCCTACCTCAGACTTCTTAGTCTTGGGATTACAAGCATGTGTTCACACCCTGCTGTATGCCGTATGCCTGTACAATTAAAATAACAAGTTATAGGGGCTAGAGAGATGGCTCAGCAATTAAGATCACTTGCTGCTCTAGCAAAGACTTAAATTTGGTTCCCTAATCCCAGCTGGTAGCTAACAACTGTTCGTAACTCCAGTTCAAAGGATCAGACAGCCTCTTCTGCTTGCATTGACACAGGTGTACTTACCTACACACAGGCAATATATGCATACACATAAAATAAAAATAAAAATAATAAATAAAATATTAGAAAAAAAAGAAGTAGCATGATTACATTGGAAGACTTTGTATAGGTGGAGAATTTGGAAAGTGAGTGAGTGGCAAACTTACATAGGCACAATGACAAATTTCACATTATTATTGAAGTTTGGTAGTACAGTTTTGTCAGTTCCAATAGGTGTGTTGTAGCATCTCATTTTGCTTTGCATTTCCCTGATGACATAAGATGTGGAACACCTTTTCATTTGCTTATTACACCACATAAATTGGTAATAATAGTTATAATCCTAGCATTCAGGAAGTAGAGGCAGGAGGATCAGAAATTCAAGTCATCCTGGACTGTATGATACCCTATCTCAAAAAACCAAACAACAAAAAATAAATAAAAAACAGTGTTTAAGGTAGACATGGCATCCTACTCTAGTGGTCTCAGTTATTCAGGAGACTGAGGCAGGAGTATTGCTTCAGTCTAGCAGTTTTAGGACAGCCTAGACAACATAAAATATGAGACCCTGTATTAAAAGAAAATAACTAAAATTGCAGTGTTTAAAAAGAAATTTGGCCAGCAATATAACTCAGAGGGTAAAGGCACTTGCCACCAAGCCTGACAACCTGAGTTTGAGTCCCAGCTGTCCTGGAACTCACTATGTAGACCAGGCTGGCCTTGAACTCACAGAGCTCTGCCTGCCTCTGCCTCCCGAGTGCTGGGATTAAAGGTGTGCGCCATCACACCCGGCATAAGAAATATTTTTTAAATGAACAAAATATGGTTTGGGGATAATTGTTAAAAGTTCCCATTTTTTGTGTGTTTACATTGTTTCTTATTCATGGTATTACTAACATCATGTTCTCTGTTGAAATCAACCTCAAAGTATAATTTCTGTATCTTCTGATTTAATCACTGACAACTTAGTGGCTGTCGGGGTATTTCTATGTTTTGTAAGATTCTTAGAAACTATACTCTTTAGGTTGGTGGTTGTTTGTGTGGTCAGGAAGAAGGCATATCAGCAGAGACAAAGTTCTTAGAAACTATCATCATAAACTCTGAGGGCCAAAACAGCTAGGCGTTCATTCCATTCTCCCCGTCACTGTATTTATATGCCCTCTGCAACAGTCTTGCTTACTGGTCACTGTCACTCCAGTGTTACTTGATGGTATTAATAGAGATGCTAGCCAAGTCC